GGGATATAGATAGTCTAAGTGAGTGGGCAAAGGTCTGGCAGATGGAGTACAATGTTGGTAAGTGTGAGGTCATCCATTTTGGTAGGAATAACAGCAAAATGGACTATGTTTTAAATGGTAAAAAATTGCAGCACGCTGCTGTGCAGAGGGACTTGGGTGTCCTTGTGCATGAATTGCTAAAAGTAAGATTGCAGGTGCAGCAGGTAATTAAAAAGGCAAATGGAATTTTGTCTGCCATTGCTCGAGGGATGGAGTTTAAAAACAGGGAGGCTATGCTGCAGCTGTATAGGGTCCTGGTGAGGCCACACCTGGAGTACTGTGTGCAGTTTTGGTCTCCTTACTTGAGAAGAGATATACTAGCACTGGAGGGGGTGCAGAGGAGATTCACTTGGTTGATTCCAGAGTTGAGGGTTGGATTATGAGGAGAGACTGAGTAATCTGGGACTATACTCATTGGAATTCAGAAGAATGAGGGGAGATCTTATAGAAACATACAAGGTTATGAAGGCAATAGATAAGGTGGAGGCAGGGAGGTTGTTTCCGCTAGCAGGTGAAACTAGGACTAGAGGGCATCGCCTCAAAATAAAGGGAAGCAGATGTAGGACTGAGGTCAGTAGGAACTTCTTCACCCAAAGGGTTGTGAATCTGTGGAATTCCCTGCCCAGTGAAGTGGTTGAAGCTACCTCACTGAATGTTTTTAAGGCAAGGCTAGATAATTCCTTTACTGTTCAAAAATTTAAGGGTTATGGTGAGTGGGCGGGTAAATGGAGCTGAGTCTCAAAGATCAGCCATGATCTTATTAAATGGCGGGGCAGGCTCGAGGGGCCAGATGGCCTACTCCTGCTCCTAGATCTTATGTTCTTATGTTCAAAGAGCTGGTGAGGTGGAACTTTCCCTTACAGTGTAAAAGCAATGTCTTTTCATCTCTGTATTTTTAATTGTGGACTGAAATGGGAAAAGGACTGTTTTAAAACCAATGATTGCTGCACATTGAAAAGCAGGTTACCTGATATGCATATGTGCTGTTTATCTGCTTGTTCAAGCAATGATGAGCTGGAGACTATGGCCTGTGTATGAATGGAGATTTGGCCAGCAACAGGTTGCTGATTTCGGTGGACTGGAGACCCACTATCAATGAGAAAGGCCTCCTACCTGCCAACAATGTCAATTGCTGCCAAGTACCTGAATAACTTATGGGTGTAAATGTTTGGGACAGAAGCCATTGGGCCTCTGGAAGAGAAGCAGCTTTTTACACTTTGCAGCAAGAAGCATTTCCAGCTGAAGGATAGCCAGTTTATTTCCCCTAATTGCTGTAAGCTATGAATTCTAATTAACAAATGAGAGACTTTATAATTATGGACCAGTCACCCTATGCCTCAAGAAGGAAGACTGAAGCTGTATTCTGATTAGCAAAAGGACCATCTCAGCAACACTGTAGTCAATGAACGGTCTTCTCAGACTTTCTTTCTGTCATAGTCAAAAAAAATGGGTGTTATGTCTTGCTGCATGTGGTTCGCAATCAGGTTGCTTTAAGTGAGTTTGATTTTTAAAACGGTAGAGTTATGCATCCGTGGTTCAGTTACTGATCACATCTGTTACGCGCTGTCAACCTGGGTCTAAAAGACGTTACATTGGAGAATTCTGCATGCCTTTAAAAATCTTTAACTTTTGTGATAACTACAGGAATAGTGGGGCATGATTTTTTCAGCATTACCCCAGTGAGAGGTGGCAGAGGGTAGGAGCAGTAATTTCTTCTGCAACATCCAAAGCACAATCCCCTCAGAGCTCCATCTGGCAAGTTTCCCCTGGTCTGTGTTGTATGACAACCTGAAACCTCCAGATAACCACGTGAACTCCCATCAGAACATACACCAGGCAAATGACAATCAGCATGAATACCCCTGAGTGAAGTGAAATTGTCTTAACTTCAACACCCAATGGCCCTACTGGAAGATGGATTATGTAAACTGTAACAGAACAGGGTTTGGCAAAAAGATGAAGCCATTACTGTGGAATCCCTGTGCAGGTAAATACATCACAGCCAGTCATCAGAGTGTGGCTACTGGGCTACAGGAGGCTCAGTATTACAACACAGGAGCAAAAAGAAAAGAAAAACAGTCCCATTGAGGAGTAATGCAATCACTGCAGATCATTCACCAACACGTCCCATAAACAGGACAGGTCGGACACAGTTTGTAATCTTTATTATTTCTAACACTGATTTCAGTCAGCCAAAGGCTGTGCCGCAGATCACCTCAAACTTTCAGCAGACGTTAAGACACCACCTTCTCCAACTAAACACCAGGGCGAGGTGTAGACTATTAGCAGGACCTTGACAGTTAGTTTCCCTAAACTCTCAAAACCTTCCTAACAAGGATGTTTAATTCCAGCAGCCAAGTTTAAATTTCCCATCTCTCTCAGTATCAGATTTTCCTAATGTTCCCAAAACAACTCCCGCACGAACGTATGCACATAACAATTAGCAATTCATTCCGAGACTGTTCAACACTCAATAACTGAGTCACAGCGTAACAATCAGGCTAGCAAAATAACTTAGCAACTAAGAGCAAAAACTACACCAACCACCACAGAAAGCTCAAGATGATCAAATTACTTCAACCCTCAGATTTGGAAACAGATCTGTCCCCACTAATACTGTGCCCGTGTTAAACTGTGACAGACTTGTCACCCCACTGCCACAGTCCACTGCCCTACCAAATGTGATGAGGTTACGGAGCATCTTTTACTGCAGGTTCATCATCCCTCAATAGAGAGGGAGTCACAATGTAACAATTGCAGCAATTAAACTACTCCCAATAATTACGCAGTTTGATCCAGCAAGGAACCAAGTCACCACCACCTTGACTCCAACCAACAGCAAATATTACAGTTATCACATGGAGAATTAATCTCTTCTTCTGTTACCAAGGCCAATCACTGGGACACCATCATTCTAGAATACAACCTTATACACTGCCCTATAAACACAGCATCCCACCACGCCCCCTCCAGATTGGGGGCCACCCCATTACAGGGCTCTGCCTTGTTACAGAGTGACTTCCTGTTACAAAGTGCAGCACTCACGACAAACCATCCTGTCAAAAAATAAAATATTGAAAATGGCTTCTCCTGGTTTCAACCACCAAGTCACTAATTATCGGGCAATGGAGTGAAGATTAAGTTCAGTCATCCTGACATTTATGCAGCAATACAAAGCACTCAGTCAGCAACCTGATCCTTTTAAGCCAAGCATTAAGGCATCAAAATTGAATCAACCTGTGCTTATACTCAATGGAAAATTCACATTCCTACAAGGGACACTGAATGACTGAGGATGAGACTGAGTCATTGACACAGACGACTTCCATGGACACAGGGATCAATGCCAGTACAGTTGATCGCTCATGACGCCTAATGATTTTCAGAGGCTCTTAGTGATCAGAGGGTCGGTCAGCACCTAGATACCGGTCAGCTAGTTATTTCCCTTGAGAGAGGATCATATGAACACATGAAGAATTACCAGCAGTCATCTATAGCATTTCTTCATTGCCTCCAAGACAATTATTCCCCTCCTTAAAATGAAAAGGCCATAACTCTCTGCAGTATGTGGTCTCAGAAATGCTCTGTACAATTATAGCAAGACTTTCCCTCTTATACTCCATTCCCCTTTCTATTACATATGAAAATGTATAAACATATAAATTAGGAGCAATAGGAGACCATTCAATCCTTTGAGCCTGCTCTATTATTCAATAAGATCACAGCTGATCTGTTTGTTTTGAATTCCACATTCCCATCCATCCCTGATAACCTTCGATTCACTGTTTAACAAGAATCTACCTGCTCTGCCTTGAAAGTGTTTAATAGCCCCACCTCCACTGGCATCTGAGGCAGAGAGTTCCAAAGTCACAATAAGAGATTCCCTTCATTTCTGTCCTAAAAAGCGATCCCTAATTCTCAAATAGTGCCTCCTATTCAAGAGGAAACATCCTTTCCACATCCACCTTGTCTAGCCCAGGACCAGAAATGGGGTAATTGGCTGTTCGGCCCCTCAAGCCTGCTCTGCCATTCATGGCTGATCCAACATTCCTCATATCCATTTTCCTGCCTTTCGCCCAGAAACCCTTAATTCCCCTACAGATCAAAAATCTCTCTATTCAGGATCTTATACACTTCAAACAAGTCACTTCACATTCTTCAAAAAAATCAGAGCTAAAAAGTCCAGCCTGACCACCTTTCCTCATAAGACAATCCACTTATTCTAGGTATCAAGCTAGTGAACCTCCTCGAACATATTTACAATCTTCCCAAAATAAGATGATCAAAACTGTACACAGTATTTGAGATTTGATCTCACCAATACCCTGCATAGGTGAAATAACAACTTCACCTTTATAAAAACCAAAAGTACTGCAGATCCTAGAAATCACAAACAAGAAACAGAAATTGCTGGAAAAACTCAGCAGGTTCTGAGGAAGCATCACTGGACCAGAAACATTAACTCTGCTTTCTCTCCACAGATGCTGCCAGACCTGCTGAGCTTTTTCAGCAATTTTTCTGTTTTTGTTTCTAATCTCACTTTTAATGTTTGATTCCTCTCATAATAGAGGGTAGTTTCCCATTAACTCTCCCTCCACTCTTAAATTATTCTTGATCCAGAGTTGTCATTCTCATTTCAAATCCTATCAGGCACTGAAGGTGGTGCACAGGGTCACGTTTACCCCAGGGGACTGTCCTAAGACCCCGCTCTTTCAACTCTAGCTGAGGTGCCCAGAAAGCAACCTGCTACTTTTGGCCCACTACCAGCATTTTATACAAACAAACGTTTTTCTGAAGGGTTCCAACCCAAAACCACAACTTTCCTGTTCCTCTGATACTGCCTGGCCTGCTGTGTTCCTCCAGCTCCAAACTGTGTTGTCTCTGACTCCAGCATCTGCAGTTCTTACTATCTCTGTCATCTCTCTCCAGATTTTCCCCTCACTCCCCCAACTAAGTCTTACCTGTGACATCTGTGGTCTGAAATTGATGTCCTTCAGTTCAATGGAACCAGGGCTCAGGTTGTGCAGAAGTTGACACAGCAGTACCCCATCCCTCAGAGCCTGCGCCAAGTCAAAGACCTGAGCCGCTGGCCACACTACACGGTGATTTGGGGGTAATACCTTGGAATCAATGAGCCAGCGGCCACACTGCCTCCACTCCTCCATCCTGCAGTCAGGCTTGGTGAGAAAGACAGTCACAATATCGAGGGGGAGGGGAGAGGGGTCACAAAGGTAAATAAGGCGGGGGGGGGGGGGGGGGGAAGAAAAGAAGAATGGTAAATGTAGAAGCAAGGGGGGACGGAGTGAAAGTGGAAGGTAAGGGATGAAAAGTGGAGGGGGTGAGGGAGAGAGGGAATGTGGAGGGGGTGAGGGACGGAGGGAATGTGGAGTGAGCTCGATGGGATGGGGGTGGAGTGGAAAGCGAGTCCGGTTTGAAGCGGAGTAGATCCAACGGGGGCGAGAGTCCGGGGAATCGCTGCTGCTGGGAGTAGTGTTTGGGGCCGGGGCTCAGGGTACCGCCAGCCGGGCTGGAGCACGCTCCCAGGCCAGGGACGAACCCTGAGCGGGGCCAGAGCCGATCCTCAGTCACTCCCTCCCGGCGGATACAATGTAGCGACGGTGGCGGCTCGCTCTATAACTTTGTATCAGGGAATGAGGGCGCGGGCGCGGGCGGCAGCGGGAGCGAACAAGCGGCGGACACCCGCGAATGGTGCGCGCCCCCAGGCCGCACTGCGCAGCTGCAGCTAGTGCCGTGCTCTGATTTACCGGGATCAGGTAGAGTTCCGGCTTGGCCACGTACTCGTTTCAAGCGCCGTTCAATATCCTCATCCCCGCCTCACCGTGATTAAAACACAACAGAATGGTTCCACGGGAACAGGCCACTCAGCCCATCGTCTCTGTGCTAGTAGACTGCAAAACCAACAGGTTCCTAGTCCCCCCGCCATTTCCCTGAGCCCTACACGACGCATCGCTTAAGAGAATGATCCAATTCCTTCTCAAAGAGACGATTAAAATCTTCTGGCACCACGTTCTTCACGTGGTGCTATCCACATTCCAACCACAAGGTCCGCATGTACTAAGGGCACCGCTCCATTTACACACTGGCACACGGGAAATGTTGGAAGGAGGATATTAGAACATAGAACATTACAGCGCAGTACAGGCCCTTCGGCCCTCGATGTTGCACCGACCTGTGAAACCAATCTGAAGCCCATCTAACCTAAACTATTCCATTATCATCCATATGTTTATCCAATGTCCATTTAAATGCCCTTAAAGTGGGCGAGTCTACTACTGTTGCAGGCAGGGCATTCCACGCCCTTAGTACTCTCTGAGTAAAGAACCTACCTCTGACATCTGTCCTATATCTATCACCCCTCAATTTAAAGCTATGTCCCCTCGTGCTAGCCATCACCATCCTAGGAAAAAGACTCCCACTGTCCACCCTATCTAATCCTTTGATCGTCTTGTATGTCTCTATCAAGTCACCTCTTAACCTTCTTCTCTCTGACGAAAACAGCCTCAAGACCCTCAGCCTTTCCTCATAAGACCTTCCTCCATACCAGGCAACATCCTGGTAAATCTCCTCTGCACCCTTTCCAATGCTTCCACATCCTTCCTATAATGCGGTGACCAGAACTGTACGCAATACTCCAAGTGCGGCCGCACCAGAGTTTTGTACAGCTGCAACATGACCTCATGGCTCCGAAACTCAATCCCTCTACCAATAAAACCTAACATACTGTACGCCTTCTTAACAACACTATCAACCTGGGTGGCAACTTTCAGTGATCTATGCAAATGGACACCGAGATCTTTCTGCTCATCCACACTACCAAGAATCTTACCATTAGCCCAGTACTCTGTATTCCTGTTACTCCTTCCAAAGTGAATCACCTCACACTTTTCCGCATTAAACTCCATTTGCCACCTCTCAGCCCAGCTCTGCAGTTTATCTATGTCCCTCTGTAACCTGCAACATCCTTCCGCACTATCCACAACTCCACCAACCTTGGTGTCATCCGCAAATTTACTAACCCATCCTTCTACGCCCTCATCCAGGTCATTTATAAAAATGACAAACAGCAGTGGCCCCAAAACAGATCCTAAGACTTTTATCATGCCTTACTTTGAACTGGAAGGTCATAAGTTTAAAGGGATTATGATCTATTTGCTGTTTACATAAAATGTGAGTTGGAAAAGCAGAATCCAGCATAGCTTTGAGAGAGACAAGGGTGCAGTTTTATTGTTTTAATTGTGGAGTAAACAAACCTGGAAAACCTTAACAGTATAAAAGTAGGAAAGTATTGCTGCAACTGTACAAGGCATTAGTGAGACTGCAGTATTACATACAATTTTGACTCCTTAAAAGGGGGATCAAATATAGTTGCATTGGAGTATGTTTAGAGGAGTTTCACTAAATTGATTCCAGAGATGAGGGGATTTGTCTTATGAAGGGAGATTGATTAGTTTGGGCCTATGTTGTCTGGTGTTTAGAAAAATGACAGGAGATGTAATTAACTCTTATAAGGAAATGGAGAAAGCAAATGTAAAGTGTGGGGCAATTGAAAATAAGAGATCATAGTTTCAGGATAAGGGGTAGCAGATTTAAAACAGAAATGAGGAGAAATTACTTTTCCCAAAGGATCATGAATCTGTGGAATTCACTATCCTAGAGTGGGACATTACATAATTTTAAGGAAGAGATAGGTAGATTTTAACTGGTAATGTGTTGAAGGTTTATGGAGAGTGGGCAGGAAAGGGGAGTTAATGCTGAGATGAGATCAGATAAAAATGGCAGAGCAGGCATGAGGGATTAAATTGCCTACACCTGCTCCTAGACCTTATATAACCATGGTTCCATGCTGCCTGGGCCTAACAACAGCCTTGAGACTGAGATACTAAGTGTTTTTGTTTGTAAAGACATTGAAAATGTGGATAGTTGCTAGAGAAATATGCAAGGATACATAGTACTGTATCTATCTTTCTCTCTGTCAGTAAGAGTCAAATTTGGAGGTAAAAGCATTCTCTTTCTCAGTGAAGTAGGATGAAAAAAAATAAACTTTTAAAGAGCAGGATTCTTAACTCTTCCTCAGCTGAATCTGAAATACAGTCAGATGGCTTTTCATTATTGTATGGCTGTCAGCATCAGAGTTCATCAACAGGAATTTGAAGGAACTGTGAGAAGTCCATCTATTTTTATCATCTGAATTCACTCCTTGATTTACAAGGGTGTTTTTGTGTCTATTGCCCCTTTATCCATATTTTTTTCCCATTATTGCTCTGCAGAGTCATGTATTTCTTTGTTCTGTCCATGTCTGGATACAGTTTAATTAGCAGCTTTTGTTGATAATCAGCTTTCCACTTGTTTGAAGAATAATTTTGCCTGTAATAAAGTGTAATTTTGCTTTTTTTTTGAAAAGCCTAGTGAAAGCCCCTTGTTCTAGTTAACAGTAATAATAAGAAACAAATTGACCATTTTTGATGCTTCAATAAGATACTTGCACTTTTGTTATGGCTCATGGAGGTATGTGACTTGGAAGGTAAAACAAAAGAACATAATATTACTTGAATAGGGAAAAAAAAGCTACAGAAAGCTGCAACTGAAAGCATCTTGGGGGGCTTGTGCGCAAAACACAGAAAGCTAGCACACAGGTACAGCAGGGAATCAGGAAGACGATTGGAATGTTGGCCCTTATTTCAAGGGGTTTGGAGTATAAGAGTAGGGAAGTTTTACTGCAACTGACAAACTGCTGGTGAGAGCACATGTGGAGTTTTGGTCCCATTATTTAAGGTGAGATATCGTGTCATTGGAGGCAGTTCACAGAAGGTTCACTCGGATGATCCCCGGTATGGAGGGATTGTCTACTGAGCAAAGGCTGAACAGGTTGGGACTCTACTCACTGAAATTTAGAAAAATGAGAGGTAATCATGTTGAAACATACAGGATTCTTAAGGGGCTTGAAAGGGTAAATGACTAGAGAAAATTTCCCTCATGGGAGAGTCTGGGATCTAAGGGTATGGTCTCAGAATAAAGGGTGCCAATTTAAGACTGAGATGAGGAGGAATTCTTCTCTCAGAAGGTTGTCACTCTTTTGAACTCCTTGCCACAGAGATCTGTGGGTGAGACTCTTTGTGTGTATTTAAGGCTGAGAGAGATAGATTCTTAATCAGTAAAGGATCAAGGCTTATAGGGAAAACACAGGAAAGTGGAAGTGAGGAATGTTGTAAGGAAGTGGGGATGTTCACTAATATTGCACAATGTTCAGCACCATTCACGGTTCCTCAGATACTGAAGCAGTCTGTAGTGATTGGAACCAGGTGGATCTCGTTGACTATGAGATCCTTGATTGAATTTGTTAACCTTGGCCAATCAGGAAGCCCTAGCTTACCAAATAAACAGGGGATTTACAATCTCCTCAGTTCAGGGACTGACTTGAGCAGGCTGTACACATGTACATAAAAGGTGATTTGGTGGTAGGGTACCGGCCTCTGTGCAGTTATTTCACAGTCCATGTCCAAATGCAGCAAGACCTGGACAATATCCAGGCCTCGACTGAAAAGCGGCAAGTAACATTCACACCACACAGATGCTAGGCTACTCCACTAAGAGAGAATCTACCCATTCCACCTACGCTTGACATTCATTGGTGGGAACACCAATGAACCACTTCCATCTGGATGGACAAGGGCAGCAAATAAATGGGAACACCATCAACTGCAAGTTCCCCTCCATGCCACTCACCATCCTGGCTTGGAAATACATCACCGTTTATTCCATGTCACTGGGTCAAAATCCTGGAATTTCCTTTCTAACAGCATTGTTGGTCTACCTACACCCATCAGACAGCAGTGCGAATGACACCAACTTCCCATGATGGAATAAAATTAAATTCCTTACATTTATTACATCCAATCCGAATGACTTTTCAACTTTAATTACAGCCAGATTTCTCATTCTGTGTTTTTATTCATGTTTTGGCCCATCAGTGTTTCAACTACATCCTCTTTTACTGTGACTTTGTCAGTAACGTTGTAAATACACACAAAACATTGGGAGTTAGAGTTGGCCATTTGGCCCCTTCAAGCCTGAAGTCCACATTACTACAACTCATTTTATTATATATTCCCTCACAATACACAACAACATTCCACTACTTCTAAACTAACATGTACCAGGACACACAAATCCCCTGTACCACAGGATTCTGCAGTCTCTCTCCATTTGAATAACCATGTTGCTTTTCTGTTCTTCCAATTAAAATGGATGACCTCACATTTTCCCATGCCTTTTCACTTAGCCTAGCTAAATCTCTTTGCAGCCTCCTTATGTCTTCATCACAACCTACTTTCTTACCTATTTTTGTGTTATCAACAAATTTTACAACTATATATTTGGTAACTTCATACAAAATAATGAGAGGTATAGATAGAGTTAATGGTAGTTGTCTTTTTCCCTTGGATGGGGGATTTCAAGACTGGGGGCACATTTTTAAGGTGAGAGGAGGGAGATTTCAAAAAGACATGAGAGGCATTTTTTTTACATAAAGGGTGGTTTGCATGTGCAATTAACTTCCTGAGGAAGTGGTGGATGCAGGTACAATTACAACATTTAAAAGACATTTGGATAAGTACATGAATACGAAAGGTTTGGAGGGATTTGGGCCAGGACCAGGTAGGCGGGACTACTTTGTTTGGGATTATTTAAGTAAGGCGTTTGATTAGGTTCCTCATGGTAGGCTCATGCAGAAGGTAAGGAGGCATGGGATAGGGGGAAATGTGGCAGATTGGATTCAGAATTGGCTGACCCTTAGAAGACAAAGGGTGGTAGTGGACAGAAAATATTCAACGTCAGCCTCTCTGCTCCTATGATGCTGCTTGGCCTGCTGTGTTCATCCAGCCCTGCACCTTGTTGTCTCGGATTCTCCAGCATCTGCAGTTCCTACTATCTCAAATATTCAACATAGTGTTCAGTTACGAGTGGTGTACCACAAGAATCTGTTCTTGGTCCTCTTCTATTTGTGAGTTTTGTAAATGATTTGGATGAAGGAGTGGAAGGGTGGATTAGTAAGTTCGCGGATGATACGAAGATGAGTCGTGTTGTGGATAGTGCGGAGGGCTGTTCTAGGTTACAAAGGGATATTGATAGGATGCAGAGCTGGGCTGAGAACTGGCAGATGGAGTTTAACCCTGAAAAGTGTGAGGTGATTCATTTTGGAAGGACAAACCTGAAAGCAGAATACAGGCTTAACGGAAAGATTCTTGGCAGTGTGGAGGAGCAGAGGGATCTTGGGATTCATGTCCACAGTTCCCTGAAAGCTGTCACCCAGGTGGATAGAGTTGTTAAGAAGGCGTATGGTGTGTTAGCTTTCATTAATAGAGGGATTGAGTTCAAGAGCTGTGAAGTTATGCTCCAGCTATAAAAACCCTGGTTCGGCCACATCTGGAGTATTGTGTCCAGTTCTGGTCGCCTCATTACAGGAAAGATGTGGAAGCATTGGAAAAGGTGCAGAGGAGATTTACCAGGATGTTGCCTGGAATGGAGGGAGGGTCTTACAAGGAAAGGTTGAGAGAGCTAGGGCTTTTCTCTTTAGAATGATGAAGGATGAGAAGTGACTTGATAGAGGTGTACAAAATGATCAGAGGTATAGATAGAGTGGACAGCCAGAGACTTTTTCCTAGGGTGGAGGTAGCTATTACGAGGGGGCATAGTTTTAAAGTGAGTGGAGGTAGATATAGGGGAGACGTCAGAGGTAGGTTCTTTACTCAGAGAGTGGTCGGGGCGTGGAATTCATTGCCGGAGAGGGTGGTGGAGTCGACCTCATTAGGAGCATTTAAGCGGCTAATAGATAGGCATATGGATGATAGTATAAGGTAGGGGTGGAGGTTAGATAAACCTTAGGATTAGGGTAAAAGTTCGGCACAACATCGTGGGCCAAAGGGCCTGCACTGTGCTGTACTGTTCTATGTTCTCTTATGTTCGGTATGGACTGAAGGGTTTGTTTCTGTGCTGTATGACTCTATGATTCTAAGTTATTGTAAAAAATTCTTAGTAGTTGACATCTGAGATCTTTCTTGGTAAAGAAAGATGCAAATGCTCCTTTGGTAGCTTAGCCAAATCCTCTGCCTCCATGTATACACTTATTTTTGGTCGCTACTCAGCCCCACTCTGTGGAGAGAAAGCAGTTAATGTTTCAGATCCAGTCACCCTTCTCCAGAACTGATTGTACCTAGGGAAAGATTGGTATATATGCTAAAGATGGGTTGGGGGAAGAGGGGAGGAGTAAACAATAGGTGGAGATGGAGCCCAGAGAGAGACAAAAACAGTTGGGCAGATAAAGGAGGTAAAGGTCAGCATGGGAGAATGAATAGCTGCTAAGGGGGACCATTAATGGCTGACAGTGGTTTGGTTTGTATGCTGACAAGGCCTGGCGTATGGGAGTTGGGGTAAGAACATGGGAGAGATGCTTAAGCCCCAAAATTGTTCAACTCAACATTGAGCTTACTTTTACCATGCGTTTATTATTTATTTGCAGATAGATCTCCATTTGATGTGTGTCATGTGAATGCCTTTTTTTTGGCTTCAGTTTACTCACAATTCGTTTTGTTATGCCCAGGCTCACGATTGTTCGCCGTAATTTCCTCCTTCTGAAAATCTAAGTAACCTATTGTCCTGGAACAATTTTACTGGGACAACCAGTCTGTGATTTCAGTCTTGCTGCGTCAGTCCATTCTCACCTCGTTGAAATTGGCTATCCTGTAATTATGTTTATTCTGAATGTTCCCTGTTCTTTTCTACCATCACCTTATGATTTTATGAAATCTGGGGGCAGGTAGGTTCAATCAGGCATTCAAGAAGGTGTTAGTTTATTATTTAAATGGGAACAACGTGTGGGGTAATGGGGAAAGGGCAGGAGAATGGCACAAAGTCATGAAGCTTCTTTGCTGAGTGGTGCAGACACAATGGTTTAATACCTTCTTTCTGTGCCATAACAATCTGTTACCTTCAAATTTCCTGATCCTTTCGGTTCTCATCCTCCTGATCCAGATCCAGTTCTGCCTCCTTCCTCATCAAACTGACAGCGAACTGATCCGGAAATTTCCATCAGTTCAGAAATTATCGCCAATCTCTGCCCCTCACACTATTACTGCCCTGGTCGATATTCTAGATAATCGTGCTGTCTCGTTTTGTCATTTTCCTGCGAATTTGTTCCGCGGTTTTAAGATAGCTCGATTGTCTCTGGTAATTTTAGGCACAATCTAAATGCAGTTCGATCCGAATGGAATAAAAATAAAGAGCTGCGAATGTTGGAAATCTGAGACAAAAACACAAATTGCTGGAGAGGCTCAGCAGGTTGGCAGCATCTCTCTCTCGAGAGAGAGAGGTTAATGATTCGAGCCCAGTGACCCTTCCTCAGAACCGTTATGGGAGGCAGGGCCCGGGTCGCCGTTGTTGTGGGGGGCAGGCCGCCGGTTGCCATGGTTTCCCGGGGGGGGGGCAGGCCCCTGGTTGCCATGGTTTCCTGGGGGCGGGCCGAGGGAGCTATGCTTTTCCCTCGGATGGGTGTCCCGTGCGGGACTAAGGGATGAATAGGGCCGGCTCCGGGTCCTCGGCCTCCCGCGGGCGGACGCTGCTGGCCGATAAGGCCGTGTCTGAGAGCTACGCCCGGCTCCGGTACCGAGACACTTCGCTCCTGATCTGGAGGCAGCAGCAGCTACAGCTGGAGCGGCGGACACTGGGCTCAGGCCCGGGCCCCGGACCCGACAGCTTCCTGGGCCGCAGCCACAGCATGTGGTACCGGCAGTTCGGCAATCAGCCCATCCTGGTCCGGGACAGGAGCAAACTAAGCCCGGGGTCCTGCCCCAGCACAGGTCCGGTTCCAAATCCAGGCCATTCCCGTATTTGCTTATTAATGTGAACTGGATCCGGATTCAGAACGAAACCGGGACAGAGTAGCAATTCCAGTAACAACCGGAGCTATACTGGAGCAACTGCTGGAGATCACAGCGGTTCAGGCAGCATCTATGGAGAGAGAGCAACCTAATTTTTCGAGTCCAAATTTCACAGCAGGAGTAACACCAACTATCATTAGCGGCTGCAGTATTTATGACCCACAGTAGCTCTGCAACCAGATTAACACCAAGAAGCAACATCTGGGTCAATATGGCAAATTACAACGTATATCCGTAGTATTTACAGACTTTCCTGGATTAATACCTGGCATACATCTGTTTGGAGACCGGATCTATGCAGATTATCACTCTCTGTATTCATCCTCCCTGCAATAGTGATTTATTTATAAACTGATTTTATTTATGGATCAATGCCTGAGCTGGAATAGCTGGGTGTTTCAGACTGTGCATAAGAACAAATCTGTAATAGAAACCTTTCTAGGAGAATCAGGCCTGGATTATGAGATTGTGTCCCATTTTTCAGAGGTAGGCTGGCCACTCGGGTGATGAGAATACATTGTGCAGTAGAGAATAAACCCTGTGTAAAAAGTGATAGAAGTTTTGTGTTAGAGTGGAATTACAGTATTCAAAGCCATTCAAATTGTGGTAACATTACTCCTTACTGAGCAAGGCTTGTTTTTAATTGACAATTTTATTCATACAGCACTTTTCACATTGACATACCCCTCACAAATATTTTGTGCAATGAATGATTTCCAGCTTCTTGAGCATCTGTGATTTTTTGTTAATAATTCCACCAAATAGCTTCAGTTGCTTGTGCTCTGGGATGAAACCTTTGTCTCTGCAGCTCTCTGTCCCTCCTTTAAGCAACTAATAACCTACCTAATAACTTAACATGCTCCATCAAATTTGTTTAATTTGATTTATTATCATCACATATACCTAGGTGCGGTGAAAAGTGATAACACAGTGTGGAACTGGAAGAATACAGAAAATTTTCTGGAGAAGAGTCCAGACCCGAAACGTCAGTTTTCCTGTTCCTCTGATGCTGCCTGGCCTGCTGTGTTCCTCCAGCTCCACATGGTGTTATCTTTGACTCCAGCATCGGCAGTTGTTACTATCTCTACAGTGAAAAGCTCTGTTTTTGCGTATCTGTTACAGGAAAGATGTTGCTAAACTTGAAAGGGTGTTGCGTGTATGGAATGAGTTGCCAGAGGACGTGGTGGAGGCTGGTACAATTACAAAATTCAAAAGGCATCTGGATGGGTATATGGATAGGAAGGGTTTAGAGGAAAATGGGCCAAGATTATTTTAGGATATCTGGTCGGCCTGGAGTTGATTGCGTACTGTACACCTGAGTACAAGCAGGAAATACATACAAAGTTCATAAGGTGATAGAACAGAATGAGGAATACAATGTTAAAGCTGCAGAGAAGAAGCACAAAAAGTGAGATCAACATTAAATTTGAGAGATCCCTTCAAAAGTCTAATAACAGTAGGGAAGAAGCTGCTGTTGAACCTGATAGTACACATGTTTAAGCTTTTGTACGTTCTGCCTGACAGAAGAGGTTAGAAGAAATTATAACCAGGGTGGAGGGGTCTTTGACGTTGGCTACCTTTCCAAAGCAACAAGAAGTGTAAATGGAGTATATGATGTTCCTATGAAGCACTTATGATTTTTTTGCGATGAACAGGTGCTGTACAAATGCATATTGGAGTTTCTGTTGGAATGCAGTTCTTACTGTGACAACCTTTTTCTCCCAGCACTACCATAAACCCAGGATTGTGCATGTTGAATAATATTTAGCTGATACTAGGAGCTTAATGTCAGCAGATGACATCCAATAGGCTTATAAGGTTGACAATACAGCATAGATACAAGTCATCTGGTCTCCACCAATGTTTCTGCTCCCCCCATGCCTCCTCTCACTCACTATATTAGATTATCCTTTTATTTATTTCTCCCTTGTGTGTTTATCTACCTTGCCTTTGTATATATCTTATTCATTACAATGATTCCCTGTGATAGTTAATCACACTCTCTCTGGGTAGAGAGGTTTCTCCTGAATTCCCCTTTGGAATTATTAGTGATAGTCTTATATCGATGATCCCTGTTTCTGGTCAATCTGAAGTAGAAAAATCTTGAAGTCTAAAATAAAGAACTGCAGATGCTGAAGATACAAAACAAAAACAAAAATTGCTGGAGAAATTTGGCAGGTTTGGAGTATTTGTGGATGGAAAGCAGAGTTAATGTTTTGAGTCCAGTTACCCTGAAGAAAGGTCATTTGACTCAAAACATTAACCTTGAAGTCTACTCTTTTGACTCCCTTGGTAAAACAATCACAGGATTATTGATTTTAAGATCCTTACCAATGGTTTTGTAACTACAGGACAGTTAGCTGAATTTGAGGAGGCAGTTTTCATGTCACTAGGCTAATGCTCTGAGGACCTGTGTTCGATCCCAGCATGGCAGATGGTTATAAATGGAATTCAATAAAAATCTGGAATAAAAAGCCAGTCTAATGGCGACTGTCAATTGTTTCAGAAGTCCATCTGGTTCAGTAATGTCCTTTAAGGATGGAAATCTGCTGTCCTTACCTGCTCTGGCCTACATGCAACTCCAGACTCAAAGCAATAGAGTTCTCTTAATTACCCTTTGGGCAATAAATGGTGACTTACTCAATGATGTCTGAATTCCATGAATTAATTAAATAAGAAAAAATGTCAGGCTGGGTACAAGAATTGTAGACTGTTAGACTACTTGACGCTATTTGGCCCATTATGCCAGTGCCAGCCTTTTTCAGTTATACCTTGTTCTGCTCATCAAGCCTTTTTACGTGTTTATTTCTCATATGGAAAGTTATTGTGCTTTCTACTGCAACATTTTTTTCTGATGTGGTATCCCATGAGATAACAGTTCTTGTGTAAAAAGACATTCTAATCTCGGATTGTGATCTTAAGTTTATACACTGTGCTATCTGGCTCGCTGGAGCTTTTCTTTCCCAGTTTCTCTGTCAAAAAGCTTCAATAATTCTGAGCCACCCCAACACACACACAGTCAGATAACTTCAACTTCTTGGGTCAAACAGTAAGAGCGCCAGCAAATAAAATTCCTGATTGTATAAATCCCAATAAATCTCTGTACAGTCTTACTATCCTTCTTACTGTGACCTCTTCAAAAACCTGTACACTTCGGACACTTTCTCTTTTCATTTGTAGTCAGGAATGATAAATAGGCATCCAAATGTATGAGGCCTGGAAACGAATTGAGTACTCCAGAACACTATCTATTCTGACCAATAAACACCAAACGACACATTTATCTGCACTTGGTCCACAACCTACTGTGCCCTGGTATTTCAAGCCCTCATCTAGATGCTCCTTAAATGTTGCAAGTACCTGCCTGCACCATCCAATCAGATAGCACGTCCATATTTTCCCCACATCCATATTTTCCACACCCCCTAGGTGAAAAACATTTTTCTCATACCTTCTAAACCACTTTTACGCCCTCTGGTCTTAGACACATCTGCCAAGGGGAAAAAGATTCTCATGATCTACCCAGTCTATGCCTCTCAGTTTTTAATGCCTCAATCAGATCTCCCCTCAGCCTTTCTCAGCTCCATGGAAAACAAACCTAGCCTATTCAGTCTCGCATAACTGAGATTTTTCATCACAGGCAACATTCTGGTGAAATGCCTCTGAACTTTCTCCAGCGCAATCACATTGTTCCAATAGTGTGGTGAACAGAACTGCACACACATCTGTAGCCTAACCATTGTTTTTGTAAATATTTACAATGACATCAAGCTTGAAGCATCACAGGGATGATACTCTCCTGTACACAGCACCTAAGCCCTGTCCTGACTTGCTATTCCACCTTCACTTCCTTTTGTATTTTATCTTTACCTCCATTCACCACAAAGTTCCTTGCCAATCATTATCATTCTTAAGTCTAACTCAAAACTCCACAGATCAAAAAGCAAGGGTTTAGTGCCCAGGTGTTCTCTTCCTGCAGTGATAGAGTTAATGCACAGCTCACCTGGAATTAGACAGATAAACGAGCTCAGGACCACCCAAAATAAAATACACTAATGCAAATTGGATGACTGCTAAATCCCACTATCAAAGCGAAAAACAGTTGAGAAAGAAGATTGGCAGACTTCCCTAACTTGGTCAATTCTGTCATCAAATGTGAGTTAGGCTCAGGATTCTAGCCAGTTATAATCGAGTCTGGTGAGTCATGTCTGAAAAATGTCAGGAATTCCAGGCCTCTGACTGTTAAAATCCTAGTTCCAGAAACTTTAAAGAGTGCTCAGAAAGTGATCTAACAAGAGCATATATTGTTTCTGCAGGAGGGGCTCCCCTTTCAATCATTCTTGCTGGAGAGAGGGGGTGGCCCTCAGGCACCCCACCTCTAGTCTTTCTTGTTGGAGGGACTCTCACCACCACCCCTCCATCCCATTCCTATAAAAGGAACTCTCACATCCCTACCCACCCCCGCAATCCCCGAGTGTTCCTGTAGGAGGGTGTCTCACCCAATGCATAGAGTTGAGGTGGGACTGGAAACCAGAAACAGTTTGGATTGGAAAACTTCAAACAGGCAACTGAGGGAGACAGAGAGTTGGGGGGTGTGAGAACTGAGGGAGACAGAGATGGGGGTGCGGTGGGAGGGCTGAGGGAGACAGAGATGGGGGTGCGGTGGGAGGGCTGAGGGAGCAGAGGTTGACAGGGGGCCTGAGGGAAAAGGAAATGGCAGAAGTAGAGAAGCAAAATGTAAAGCTAAGGAGGGGTAAGCAGCAAGAGAGCTACAATATTCGTAGAGCACATTCTGAATTTTATTATGAAACCTGCAATCTTCACGTACTTCTCTTCACAATGTCAACAACTGAAATAAATCAAAAAAGCTGTTGATATTAAGTAGATTTTTTTGTTTCAGGCACCCAGTGCTGACACAAAGCTTTGTACATTAAACATCACATCAACTTATACTTAACGTATCCAACAAAGAATTTAAACTTATAATTATAAAGAACAGTAAAATATATTCAGAGTTACTGTGAAGCTCTAAGTGGAATTTGTTGAAGGTGAGTTTCAGAGGACAAATTCAGAACTCAGGAAAACCTGCAATGATTTTTCAGTTAGGGTCCAAATCCAGGAGCATCTGGATCTTTGCAACTCGAAGAACGGTTGTTAAAATTCAGCAATGCTTCTTTCAATCCACCTGCATTTATTGCCAATCCCTAACTTGCAGGGGGTAGTGTTCCCATCTGCTGCCCTTGTCCTTTGAGATGGAAGTGGTCGTGGGTTTGAAAGGTACTGTTAAGAAGATCTGATGAATTTCTGCAGTGCATCTTGTAAACAGTATTCACTGCTGCTACTGAGCACCAGTGGTGGATGGAATGGATGTTTGTGGATGTAGTGCCAATCAAGTGGGTTGCTTTCTGCTGGATATCAAGCTTCTTGAGTGTTGTTGGAGCTGCACTCATCCAGGCAAATGGGGAGTATTCCATAACATTCCTGACTTGTATGTTGTCAATAGTGGATGGACTTTGGGAGGTTAAGAGGTGAGTTATTTGCTGCAGCCCAGCCTCTAATCTGCTCTCGTAGCCACAGCATTTATAATGTCGAGTCTAATTCAGTTTCTAGATAATGGTAACCGCCCCCAGATGTTGATAGTGGGACAATCAGTGATGATAATGCCATTAAAGGTCAAACAGTGATGGTTAGATTCTCTCTTGTTGGAGAGGGCCATTACCTGGTACTTGCATAGCACAAATGTTACTTACCACTTAGCATCCCAAGCCTGGATCATGTCCAGGTCATGCCACATTTGAAAACAGACTGCTTCAGTATCTCAGGAGTCACAAATGGTACCTAACATTCTTCAATGCTGATTGCACATCCCCACTTCTGATTTATGATGTAGTGAGGGAAAGAATGAGCTTATAACGAGAGAGAGAGGGAGAAGCTCACAGCGAGAAAATGGACTGACAAAGGAGAAAGGGAGAACCTGCTGAGAGTGTTTGCGGTGAAGGGGCTGGGCAGCCTGCAACCACAGTTTGTAATATCCACCAATACGTCATTGTCTCACAAATGTCTTAACTTCGTTCTTCATCTCTGATTAAAACATAAATATCAAAGGACTAACAAGGGAAAATGCTGGAGACATTCTGTCTAACTTACAGAACACTCCAAGTCATCCACAAATGATCCAACAATAAACAACCAGGATTTCAAGTCTCTTTGTACTGAGGCAACTGTGAGTCACCAAACCCAATCCTGTTTATTTCAAAAGGGCCTTTGTAGAAATCAGAAACTGACTTATTCAAACCTGATTATCTAAAGTTTCAACACTTCTGTCTGTACAATGGACTCCGACCCCTTCCATTCCTTCCTTTACCTTAAATAGAATGATAAAAATGCTTAACAAACACAACAAATTGAATTTGTAAATCACAGCACCCAGTCACATCGGCTGTACAAACACCTGAAGGATCTAGCACAAGCCAGGCTACACACATACGATCAGAATCCTGCCTGGAGGCTTCCTCATTGGTCCCGAGTTGATTTATTTGTCCAGGTTCTTAATAAATTAGGTATATACACATGGGTAAACACTTGCACTCAGACAGTCCCTGTGTGCTCAGACACTGGCTATATCCTTCAGTCAGGCGTCTCACACTGCTTTTAACTGAGTGAATGATCATCAATGGAATGTGCTGGTCAGGGTCTCTCCTATCAGGTTCATTCATCATCAAAAAAACAGCACAGCTTTCAAATCTGGTGAGGTAAGGTTCAAGTCATGTGGGCCAGCAGCCGGAAGAACTTTGTGCCAAAAGTATAATTTGAGAGCCCAGATCGAAAGGTCTATTCAGATTCACTGGTATCTGAGGAGCTGGAGACACTGGAGCTGGTGCTGCCTGAGTCAGAGGATGAACTGCTGCTGCCACTGAGACGGGAGGGACACCCTCCCTGCCTGAGGTCTGACTTCTCCCCTGTAAATTTTAGAAAAAAAAACAATAGTTAGAATGAAAACCATGAAGAGGATTTGACTTTAATTCTTGAGGATTTCTGTGTCACTGCCAACATCAGCCAATGCCTGGCTGCTCTTATTCACCTTGTCCTTGAATCTATATGGTGAAGGAGCTCTGATGCCGCAGTTATATTGGAAGTTCCAGGACTTCTACCCACTGACATAGAATCATACAACACAAAAGTAGTTAATTCAGCCCATCATGCCACTACAGGCTCTGTGAGACAGTTAGCAACTCCTCTTAGACTGTCTCATAACCCGCCAAATGATCGAATTTCCTTTTGAAAGTTCCTACTGAATCCGTTTCAATGCATTCTAGATCAAAAAGTGATTAAAGAAAAAATCTTGTTACCTCCCCTCTTTAGTTCTTTTGCCAATGACCTTAAATCTGTTTCTTCTCATTATCAACCTTCCAACACCAGAACCTCTGAAATTAAGGTCTTAAATCTAAACTAGGGAAGGTGTGAAAGGCAAGTTAGTGGATTGGGAAAATACACGAAAGGATTCAACAGACACATTTCTCCCAATCAGAAGGGTGAATGAACCTGAGCTAACAAAAGTTAAAACTTTCGTTAAATCAAAAGAAGCGGCTCACAAGAATCAGGGTCAGAGGATCATACAGCATAAAAACAGGGTCTTCAGCCCACCGTTTCAAAGCAGACCAACAAACACCAAACCACATTAATCCCATTTACCTGCAGTCTCTGGGTGGAAATTTTCCATTGTCAGGGTCTAAACCGCTTGATCCTCACCTTAAACTTATACTCGATGATCTTAAGACATATCTGCCATGGGGCAAGAGATTCTCGCAATCTATCCCCCTCATAATTTAGTAAACCTCAGATACCTCCTTAGTTTCCTCTACTCCAAGGAAAACAAACCCAGCCTATCCAGTCTCTCCTCATAACTGAGACTTTTCATCCCAGGCAACATTCTGGTGAACCTCCTCAATAATGCAATCACATCCTTCAGATAGCGTGGCAACCAGAACAGCACACAATATTCCGTATGCTGCCTAACCAATGTTTTATAAAGTCGTGATACACTTCCTTGCTCCTCTATTCTATGCCCCAGCTAATGAAGGCAATCATCCTACATGCCTTCTTCACCACCCTGCTGACACCTTCAGGGATCTATGGACTTGAAAACCAAGATCCATTTGTTCCTTAGTGCTCCCTAGGGACCTATCATTTGGTGTGTAT